ACACACACACACACACACACACGGATGTTGTTTACAGCCTTAGAGCTCATGCACGCCAGCAGCAGCTTTAAAATGGATGAGAAAGCCTCTGGGACAAAAGCAGAAAAAATCCGCAGCACCACCGACATGTATTTTTCAAGCGTCTCTATAAGACCTCATGCTGATCTGACGACAAGCGAACAAGCTGACCTCCACTCAGGAAACATCAACCTGTGAGAACATGAGGCTCACTTTTATTCTGAAGGCCTCCAGAGATGTATCCTGGACTCCAACGATGACTGAAAATACAAAATAAAAGATTCGGTTCTCTTAATGCCAAAACAATCCATTTGTATCAGGGTTCAAATGACACTTTACCGTGCACCATGGCTCAGTGAGGGAACAAAGCATTTAGGATGAAAGGAAGCCAGTTAACTCTCCATCTGTCATCGTCACAGCACAGCCAAGTGTGTCTGTGTGTTTTTCAGCTTCATGTTTTATCTAAATGCTAATTAGGATTGGGGTTTTTAAAAGGTATACACATGTATGAGCGGAAATACTAAAACACAGACTCCAGAATTGGATGTTAGATAATCGTGCTCCTCTCGAGTGTAATCGCTTGTGTTCCAGTTGGTCTCAAACATGAATTATTTGTCTCTCTGACTGTGTTAAAGTAGAATCAATGGCGGACGATGAAAGCAAAAAATGAATTCTCATTCAAAAATGATCCCTGCATGTGTTCACATGATGAAAAATTCATCTGGTGTGAGCTCTGCGACGAGAAAATATTTGGACGATAAAACACTTTCAGAAACAGACTGTGACAATAAGAGAGAACATGTGATGCCACTGTTGAGTTTGTTTTTCTTCCTTTTCCTCTGTTCCTCTTTCCTGATCTCTAAACCTTCTTCACAGGTCAGACACATATTTACTGAATTGTAATAAAAGCTATTCCCTAAACTTTATTCATTTTATCAGCTTCACAGCTACATCTGATAAATGTCTCACAAACAAACTTCTAACTTCTGTTTTTTGGAAAGAGATGAGATGATCAATATATTAAAACGCTACATTGAATCAATTGATCATTTACAGTAAATTACCACTTACCATTCACCATTACTATGAACTAACGGAATGGGTTCAGTGGAGCTTTTTTAGTGCACCAGTTAAATAAATCACAGCCAGAGCAGCGAACACAGCGAACGCACTGAAGTACAGAGACAAAAAACATTTTCTAATCCTACATGAACTTTCACTACCCAGTTTGGAATATATATATAACACATTCAAAATAGATTCTGTTATTCTAATTGGGCAATTAAACTAAAAGCTTTAGTTTACCAGAATTTTAATCTACAAGGTTGTTGGACAGACAGGAAAATGGATTCTTGTGGATTTTAAAAGGGAAGACCAACAAAATTTGGCAGGAAACTGGAATGGCTCTCGATAAAGACAATTCTTCCACCAAGGCCAAACACTGCCCTTAAATGATCATTTAATTATTATTATCTTAAAGAATAAATAATCCAGATGTGTGTCATAATTCAAGTTCTATATATATATATATATATTTTTTTTTATTAATTACAATAAAGTTTATTGTTAAACTTAGGAATCATTGCAAAGTTGTTTTTAATAAACATCGGCCACAATTTATCTGAAATATTCTACTTCCCCGCTTTTCAGAATCGGTCCCAAATATCCATATTAGCCGGCTCTAATATGAGGGGGAGAAACCTTGCTAAAAAACTATATTTCTGAATTCAACAGAATTTCCAACCCTCTTATAATGGTGTTAAAGGTAAATTTGCATTATGTTAGCAAGTTCCTCTATAAGGGGTCAAATCCTATTCTGTGGGATTTTGAATTTAAAGAGACAAAAGATTTGCTTCAGTCACTAACTTACTACTTAAAGTAGTTTTGTGTTTCTAAACTCAAACAGCAGGAACGTCTGAGTAAAGTTATAAAGAAATAACAGGAGCAACTTTATTGTCACTTGAACTTCACCTTTGCTCTCTCCTTGTTCAACCAGAGTGCATCTGTCGTCTTCTGAGTGCAGCACAGGAAGCTTTCACCGAAATTATAGTCTTCAAAAGTCAACGTCCCACTTTGTCCCGAGTGAAAAAAAAATAATATCAGAAATACCGCATGAAAAGTGCACCTGAATGCATCTCTGTGTGTGTGTGTGTGTGTGTGCTACATGTGGACTTCACACACGACACAGCAGATTATTACCAACACATTTATTACAGTGACAGTATCCACACACCTGCAACATCCTGACAGAACCACACATCTGAATCAAATCTTTACATCTGGGTTCACATTCAAAAAAACAACAAATTAAAATGGACTCACTAAAATATCATGAAAGGATTTTTCCTCGCTGGACTGAAGTTAGCCCCATGAGAAGCTACGTTACTGCGCGTACATTGTCCTGGATGGTGACTGAACGTGGATCAGACGGGATGAGTTTGGATGCTGGATGAATATTTCATACATTAACAGTATATGTATGTCAGAGCCCAGTGTTGTGTCTATTCACCCAAGAGCTGGGAGATGTGAAGACATATGGGACACTTCCACTGCAACAATTCTAGAGGATTCAGGACCAAAACCGTTTTCATGAACTCTGGAAAATTATGTGCAATTTTTTTGACATATTCACAAGAACATGATGTCCGTAACATTCAGGTGAAGGGTGGAGCCTATGTAGATTATGCAGGAGGTGGGACATGACATATAAATCCCACTGAGGAAATCATGTGTTTACAGCGGCGTCAAAAAACTCTGTTATGTCTTAAGTTGATGTCGATGTGCAGCTCCTCTTTTTCATCCTGACATATTTGCATTCTTTTTTTTTTTTTAAGTGTTGCGTCCGTCTCATGTTACAAACCTCCCAACCATCCCAAATGAACTCCCTCAGACATTTTATGGACATTTTACTCTGGGGCTAAAAAATATCTGGAGCCACTCAGGTATTTGGAAAATTTCAGGAAAATGTTGGTGCATGACTGAAAGCAGCTTCTGATGGCTTTGTTTTCCTGAGACTGACATCCATCCCTACTTTATCAAGCAGTGTTTGATAAAGTATTGAGATACCGAAATAAGTCAGATACATTGATTATGATGTTTAATTGTTTTAACCCACTTATGGAGAGAAAACCTGAACAAATGGTGGAAGCAGGGTTTGAGCTTTGAAACCGAGCAAAGCCGACACTGGATGAATGTGCAGCAGAGCAACAATTGAAAAGGGGAAAAAAAAAAAAAAAGGAAATAACTAAGAGAGCAGTGAGACGCCTGTTCTGTAAAGAGACTCTCCCAGTGGAGATGCAGCTTTGAAGCTCCTCTCTCACTTCACAGTAAATGCAGCCACCGTCCTAATGAGTGGGTGGAAGAGCAAAAGGTGCCTGGGAAAAATGTGCAACTCCCACGGAGGAGACGGGGGGATGGGGGGAGTGAAAGAGTCGCTCCTCACATGCTAATCATGTCCTGTGCTATAAAAAATATCAGAAATGAGGCTGATGATGTGGAGGCATCACCAGGTTCCACCTCAACAGTGTCAAATCTCTGCAAGTGCTGCCAGACGATGATAAAGATTCAATCCAAAAACATTTATAATATTGACTCCTTCAAACTGAAAGAGAGGGAAACATCTATAAACATGTACGAACCAAAAAGAAGCAGTTCAAAATAACCGCGAAGGGGAATGTCTAGAAGTGAGAGGGAATTGATTCTGGCAGCTTCTGGTGGATCTTGTGGCGGGGGAGCCGAGAAGATTAAAGATCCAAATTGAAGAGAAATAAAAAAAAGGGGGACAGAATATAAGTTTAGATCAGAATGAAAGCCGTAAAAAAGGTGCCCAGCAAAAAGTAACTGTCCGCTCAAAGAGAATGTGAATAAAATCATCACTGAGGCTTATTTTTTTTGCAATCAGTACCCGCTCTGTCCATCCTACCTCTCTCTCTCTCTCTCTCTCTCTCTCTATCAGCATCCTGAGATGTCTTTGGTTTTGTGGCGTCGTTGGAAGCGTGTGTCAGTCGGGTCGAATCCCTGCTCTGAAGCTCCGAACAGAGCCCAGCTGGGGGTCTTAGCGATGTAGTCCAAGGCCGAGAAGCTCTGACGTCCCCCACTCTCCTCGGCGGCCTGGACTAACTCCTGGAAACGCTCGTAGTCGATCCAAGTCCACCACTCGCCGGCCACCTTGAACTAAAAGCACATGAGAGAAGACTTTTTAAAGAAACCTGGGATTTATTTAAAAACCTAAACCAAACTAGAGCCATTCTGATTTTTAGGAACTACAAGGAATCCAACTGAACGTTTTAGTAATGAAACACAAAACAAAACTGTTTGTGCAATTCTCCAGATGGCCTTCAAATCCAGATCTGTCTCGGGCTGCAACTAATAATCATTTTCAGTACTAAATAATCAAATAAGTTTTATCCTATCAGTCCCGTAAACATGTCTGACTTTTATTCAAGATCCATGAATCATCCATCCATCATTTATACCACTTTGGAGCGTTGCGAGGGCCTGGAGCCAATCTCAGATAACTGACAGACAGAGACGAACAACCATTCACAGCTACAGACAATTTACAGTCGCAAATGAACGCGACCCCAATCCTTATATGTTTTGATTGTGTGCAAAAACCAGAGTATGTAGAGTAAACCTGCACAAAAAACCTGAGAAAATACAAACTTTACGAAGAAAGACCCCGGACAAAGCAGGATTCCAACCAGAAACCTTCTTGCAGTGAGGTGATAATCATGAATTATTCAGAGGAATCAGTGGACATTTTGAAAAACACTGTAGCTTGTAATGTTAAATAAAATAAAATAAATTCCTGGATCCACCCTCTGATCACCAAACTTTAATTTAACAGTAGTTTTTGTTTTAATCCTGCTAACCAACAAAAAATGCAGATGAAATGATAACCCCCTTTGTGGAGGTAATAAAGGAAAATAAGTTATGTATACACTTCATTCGATATAAAATGATCTAATGGCTGCATGGAAATAAAAAACTGAATTTAACAACCACTGACTGAAGTAATCAACAAACAGAAAAATGTGTTTTATTCCAAATTTAAACAACAGAGAATTTAAAGACGTGATCAAGGATGCAGAGCGTCTTGCTCCACATCTGCCACTTGCAGTTACTTTAGCCTTTTTTAAATGATTGTGGTTTCTTCTTACATCTTCTCTTTTATCAATCACTGCTTCTTACTCCTTCACCCAATTCGCCATCCATCATAGTAAAGAGAACAAAAGAGGGAGATAGAGAGACAGAAAGAGAGCAAGGAGCTGAAAACTGTTAGTAAGTGTGTTTGTGAGAGAAACACTCACGAACAGAGAGAGAGAGAGCAGCTTATGTGCTGGACAGTGAGGGAGAAGCCTCTAACACCATCCTGCTTCTCTAATCCTGCTTGTTTTCCAAAGCAGTGCAGGAGGTGAAGAGTGTGACCTCTACTTTCCCAGCACACGGCCCGAGCTCTGCAGCAGATACAACACCGTGTTTCCCCTGTTGTCTGCACAGTGTGGAAATACTGAGGAGAAACAGAGAGAGCAAGCAAACCAGCGCACGAGTTGCACACAACAACACATGTCCTCCGAATGTTTACTTCTGTTTATGTGCAGCAAAGTTTGATCCTTAAATGGTCCTCTATAACTGGAGCTCACTCTTGGGTTTTGTTTGGAGTTTCTTGATGAGCTCCAACCGGATGAGAAATGGCACAGACTTGTCACTGGGGATCAGTGTTGTGCTTTTAGCTTTCAGCATTTAAAAGCTCTTTCAGGTTCATGGCAGCTTTGGCCGGACCCCCCTCATGTGCACTGGGGTTTGCTTTTTTTTTTTTTTTTTTTTTTTAATTCTCAGCATCGTTTCTAAACTCCTGTAATCCACACAACAGGAGGGGGGAACACTCACGTTACATTCTGAGGAAAGACAACGACTCAAAATGACAAAATGTTCTGACTAACATTTATTTGCCCAGTTAAAGACTCTGCACTGAGGGAGTAACGGCACAAAGTGTTTGAATGTTAGCCTGCGTCTGCCTCAGCCATTAGAGAGAAGCTACCCACTGCATTGCTAATGAGGCCTGAGAAGGGGGAGATTAAAGCAGCATCTACTGGGAGTTAATGTTTCTGGTAATGAGAAGGGCTAATATTTGCTCAGGCAGCATCTCTGCAAACAATTTCAGTCTCCAAGCGACAAAGCGGAGCTGTTCTTTATGGAGAACAAGACGGACCTGGTGTTTTTACTAGCAGGGACTTTGCTGAGGATCAGTGAGGATGCTGAGAGCAGCGTCTTCACCGAGCACCATGGGAGGTGCGTCCCCGTCGAGGCACACGACAAAGAGCTGAACAGGACCTTCACACAGATCTCCTGTGTTTTCCTTAATGGAAAGTAAGCATATGAAAGGGAAACCTTTCTAAATATAGTGTGTTCTTTTTTGTTGAGTCATTAAAATGTCATCACTAACTGTATAAAAGGGAATCATTCTGATGCTTATAGCTAATCATTTTTCTGCTCAATCATCTTCTCATGTTTGAGCATGGAGACAGATTTGTGGTGCACATTTAATTGCAGAACCAGCTCACAGACAAACTTGAAATTGGAGAGATTAGAGGCCAAGAGAGAAAAAACGTTCAGGTCGTGGATGTGAGTCAGGAGATACTTGAGGAATTTTGACAGCTGCATTATCTGCCACTTGGGCTGTATGTGAACACAAATGTCTCCTCCCATGTGAGAACACAGGGGTGAAATATCTGGAAAATTCACAGCGAGCAAGTGGGCCTGTTGATGATGTTTTTAACATATTACAAAGAATCAAAAAAGACAAACTACTGAAAAATGATCTTTAGAACTTTTTAACGTTCCCGTCAGTTTCACAGACAGTTTGCTGAATTGTGTTTGTAAACTACAGACACCAGACAGTGTATCTGTGCCACGGCTCAGCTGACAGCCTAACGTGCACCAGCACGGCAGGAGGCTGAGAGACACAAGAGTGGTGAAAGTAGAATGAGTGGTGAGAAAAGAAAAGAAGCAGAGAAAGAGAGAAATGACTATGAATGGGAGGATCCGTTCGGTAGAGCATGAGACTCTTAATCACAGGGTCGTGGGTTCGAGCCCCACATTGGGCGAGGAAGCTTTTGGGGAGGCAGTAGCTTAGTCCAAAGCGATTTGGCTTGGGAACCAGAGGGTGGACGGTTCTAGTCCAGCATGGACGGAAGTTGGAGAGGTGCCAGCTCACCTCCTGGGCACCGAACCCCCCAGTTTCTCCCCGGGCGCTTCCCTCATGGCTGCCCACTGTTCCGTGCGTGGTCACTGTGTGGATTGTGTTCTGTGTGTGCTCCGTTCACACGGATGGGTTAAATACAGAGGTGAAATTTCCCCATGTTTGCATGTGGGACCATAAAGAGGAATCTTAATCCCAGAGATTGAAGAGAAACTAATGATGATGTGTCAGCACACACACACACACACACACACACACACACACACACACACACACACACACACACTGATGTCTTTTAAAGGACTACATCAAACACTGATATCATCCATCTGGAACTAAGATCTGAGGATTGTGTACATGCATGCACGGCTGTGCAACCCTGTGATGTGTTTCAAACTCAACTGTTATGCAAGTTAAAACCTGGAGGACTTCTTACTCTGGATTCTCGTACTGCTGAGGAGACACTGAAGACACTTAACAAAATAACATCAGACTTCAGACGTTCTCAGAAGGAACCTAAAAATGCCTCCAGTTCCCAAACTCTGCTGGATTATTGATGTCCGCCTGAAGACAGCGGCGTGCTGTGTTAGACACACACGCATCTGTAAACATTTAAACAGGGATGCACTCATACTGAACTGCAGTTTTCATTACGCTTTAATTTTCGTCTTATTCTCACTTTCCCCTCTTTTAATCTCTGCCTTTGACCTCATTTCTGTCACATTTTAATAGTGAATATTTTTTCCAGTTGCGATACATAAATTAAAATTAAATTAAAATTACAATTATTCCAAGCACTGATTTTAAACCTGTATTTGATTATAAGTTTTAAATTGATAATAAGGAAATTGCTCTTTTAGTTTCCTTCCAGTTCATAAAAGACGATAGATAATGTGGATCAATCAAATCCGGGATCAATTCAAACCAATATAATAAATTGGTTTTATTCAATATCTTTATTAACATGAGTTGAAGCCTGTTTGTGTGGAATGTCTCCATTTGCACAAGCTTCATTGACTTGTTTTACCTGTTCAAGGCATAGACTGTAAAGATGGACAACATGATGGCTCCCAAAAAGTGAAGCCGAAGGAATTTTACCTCCTCAATGTTACCAGATGGATGATGGACAAAACTAAAAAGTCAAAATGTTAACATGTTAATCATACTGACGTGTGTTCATATGTTTATGTTTATGTTTCTGGTAAGTTTGGTTTAAATTTGTTATTTGATGCTATAAAGACAGGGTTAAACATCATAATTGACAATTGGTCGAGCTGTGTATCGATGGGACCTGGATATCCTTGTATCCCTTGTATCCCTGGATATCCTTGTATCCCTTGATACTACACATATGTATATATATATATATATATATATATGTAATAATTTGAGGTACAGTGTTTGTGTGAAACAAATGCTTCTCTCCTGTTTCTTCTTAAAAAAGCTTTTCACAGGTTCTTAAAAAGCCTGAAATGATGAGTGTGTGAGTGCAAAACGCTGTTCATTCTTCTCACGGTGGCTCAGCCCCAGCTATTAGTTAACAGGCAGATAGATCCCGCCTCAGAGCACCGAGCACTAATACTGCAATCTCTGTGAGTGCATGCATGAAGTGGAAAGATATGGAAAGAGAGGGTGTGTGTGTGTGTGTGTGTGTGTGTGTGTGTGTGTGTGTGTGTGTATTAAGAAAGGTGTAGGCGAGAAGGTGCAAATAAATTGGTCTAATGTGTCTTAGGCAGACACACAAATGGCCTCATTTATATTTGTGAAGGTGAGAGAATGGTGATAATGAAAAAAGAAGGGGGGTAATAAGAAGGTGGAAATCAGCTCAGTGAAACAATGATATTTCCTAGAGAGGAAATAGAGAATTTAAGTCAGCTAAACAACTGTCTTTTTAACAGCTTATCGTCTCAGAGGACTTAGTGTGTGCATGTGCCATCAACAGAAAGGTAATGATTGAGATGATGATGATAATCTTTGAGTTCATGTTTGTCAGATTATCTTTATAAACCACAAATCTTCATGTGGTATTTTGGAGGAAATGCCTAACATTTTTAAAGCGTACATCTATACAGCAGCTCTAAGACTATTCTCAGACTAGTTTAGGATAGTAGCATGCTAACATTTGCTAACCAGCACAAACACAAGGTGCAGCTGTGACAGATGGGGATGTCATTTATTTTGCAGGCATTCAGTCGACTGACAAACTGACATGGTCATGGCCTCAAGCTACGCTGCTAGCGTGGCTATACATAGACGACCTTTTATAGATATTCACCTTAAATGATAGATAGATAGATAGATTACTTTATTCATCCCCAAAGGGAAATTAGGTGTTTAAATTATTAAATGTTGTATGTTTACTATTTCCAGCCAGAACCAAATGAATTAAAGGGTTCAAATTGTCAGCATGGAGATGAATCATGATCCTGTTTAAATTATCTGCAAATTGGATTTTGTGATAAAAAGTTTAATTTCTGCATCTTTTGTACCTGAAATAAAAATTCCAGACAGATTTCCTTTAAGACGTATGTCCCGCTCATCATATGATAACTTCAAACGATTTCTGCTGCAAACTTCCTGTTCAAAACAGATCTGGACCTGGAATTACATGAACCAGATACTGGAACCAGTGATCTGGGGTTTTCTGTTACTAAATGAAATGAGAAAACTATTAATATGTAAAAATATTGCTGTATTTTAACAACTAAAATGACTGCACTGCGGTTGTATGTGCTTTGTGAAGTCACAGTGACCTTTGACCACCAAAATCTATTCAGATCATTCTTCATTATTTGAAGAAATTCCCTCGGGGCATTCTTGAGATATCGCAATTGGACGGAAGGACCAATAGACAACAGTGATTTCTCCGAAAAATCTACTTGAGCAGCATTTTACATGAGGGCAAAAATAAGCCCATGGCAGTAAAACTGATTCCGTAGAAGTTTGGCATTCAAATCTGTCTAGTATCCAGATTGCAGCTATATGATTGTAACCTGATAACATTTATACCTGGTATTAATATGTGAAACCAGTGTCCACAGATGTGATTGTGATCCGTTTGCTATGAAGAAGATGGTAGCAACCTGTGCCGCGACATGATTGTGCTTTCTCAGTATTTCAAGTGGTTTCTTCTTCACTCCCTCCATGAGTTTCTTGAATAAAGTGAGGACTGAGAAGAGGACTGCTTCGCGTGTTTGCTGTCTAGCTGCGGCTGCCTCAGTGGATTGGAATGTTTGTGTTTCTGTCAACATTTAAATGTTTAAATGGGGTAAATGGTCATTTCTTACCTGTTATCCCTCCAAATTACTGCTACAACAGATCAAGCCTACAGCTTCCTCTGTTCTCAATAAGCAGTTTACAGGATTATTTACCACTAAGAAACATCCAACAAAACGAAGGTGGGTTAATTTGGGTGGTAAAACAAACTAAACATGAAGTGGATGATTTGTGTGTGTCTGTGTTTGTAAATGAGTAAATGTGAATGAGTGTGTGTATGATCTGTTCTGCCAGTGAGAGTCAAGACAGCAATTAATCATAATTTGTTAATTATTGACGGACAGTTGCCTTTGGCAGAACCCCCCACTGACAGAGGCTTTGTGGGGCAGTGAGCCTCTGCCAGGGTAAACCACTCTGATTCGTATTTGGAATGGAGGGCAGACAGGAGAATTGATTATCTAAGCAATACAAAAAGACAAAATCAAAACACAAATTTAAACAGGGAGTTTATGAGCTGTGTGGAAAATACTGAGCTGTTTGGAAAAAGGAGATAAAGGACGTGTGCGTTTGTGTATGAAAAGAACTGATGTAGATCACAATAGATGCAAACAGGATCACCAGCTTCACATTAGTTATTATGTGTGTGAAGGCTAAGGCAGTATCCATTGTCTGCGTCCACTGATAACACTGATAACCTCGAAATGTTAATGTACAAAAACAGCAGCAGCCAGCAAGCTGCACCTAGTAAGTATCCAGCAGACTGTGGCTCCTACTGAACGAACATGTATCTACACTCTGTTGTACACTAGGAGTAGTTTGACACTAAAAGTATTTTTGTTTTACTGATCAAGAAGCAGACGTTTAGGAAACAACAAACTTATATTTATATTAGAAAGTAGGATTTAAGCTTCAATGATCAATGATCAAATTATTCTGTCTAAACTAATCATCTATACAAACGTCTATACACCTCATAGGTCTTAACAAGATGCAACATCCTTTGTCCTTAACCCTCGACTGTGAGAAAAAACAGCTGAGGTGAGGAATCTGTCTCCCAGGATGGAAACATGTACAATAAATCTTGTGTGTTGCACACAATCAACAAAATAACAATATTTAAATCACTCATGTGAAAAGACAGTTTCTAAAATTTGAGAAAAAAAGAGATTATTCTGTTAATCGACAAATTGTTTGAGGTCTAATATACAGCAGAGCAACAAACAGTGTTCCTCACACTACCAAGTCTAAGCTAGCGAACACGACACGTGTTTTAATCCATTTACTAGCTCAAATTTAGCGTTAGTTGTGTTTTCGTGTAAACGCTGAACATGTGGTAGGTTTAGTGTTTATGTATGAGCTCACCTGAAGCAGCGTTCTTACCTTGGTGTGTGCGATGAGCAAACAGTTGGAGTGCTCGTGCTCACAGGCGATCTCATACTGAGGCAGCATGTCGGCGAGCTGCTGGACGAAGGCGACCACCTCCTGGTGCCAGGGGACGTTGGCCATGGTCAGTGTGCTGGCAGAGCTTTCCCCACAGTACGTCACCCCCTGGACAGACACAACATACCATGAGGAATTATGGAAGTGTGGAAACTGTGGTACAGTAGGATGGGGGTGAATGCAGGAAAATGTAGAAATGAGTCTGTACTTTTCCAAAAGGCATTATATTCAGTCTTGAGTGTAAAGATGACAAAAAGGCTTCATAAACTTCCACAATTGTGATATATAATCTCCACTGTTGAGAGAAACAGAGGAGGAAGTGAAAAACCATCTGGCCCTGGCCACAGAAATCAATCAAAACAGCAGGCTGAACGCCGGGTGTTTCCTGATCAATATTGGCCAATCTGTGTTGTGGTTACAAGTGATGAGGAGGGAGAGAACAGCTCCCTCTGGCAACGACAAACTATTGATGAGTCGGGCTGAGAGCAGAAAGGTGTGAGGGAGCCATGAAGAGAGTGCGTCATTAGCTAAGCTCCCGAAATACACACCAAAAACACTGTAAAGATTGCAGATACAACTGATTTAGAATCAGTAGAAGCTTCAAGGATTTCATTTCAGTATTTGAGTGAGCTTCAAGATTTAAAACAGCCTCTCAGAGTCTCGTAAATCGGAGAGGTGACCTTGAACAAACGAGATGATCCCTCAAACGTTTAGCCCACAACTGTTCTGTATCTAATCTGGTTAAACCTAGAATGTGCAGTATATGATTTTTTTATAAGATTGTAGTAAATGCAGCATTGCAATCATTTTCCTTTGTACGTCATCCAATTGGTGCAAACACACACAGACTGAATGTGTGGCTGTGTGCTGCAATAGAGCAAAGGCAGCATTTGTGCTCCCTTTATTTCGTTGGCCAGGAACCGTCACTCAGGTTCCTCGTAGTGGAAACACAAGAGGATTGAAGGATGGATGGAAATCATACATGTTGCAAAAACAGAAGATTTCTATACTGAACCAAATATCTGTATCTGAACGGTCATGATGTTAATAAATGTCCATTCTAATGTCTCCTTAGAATATAACCCCCTTAGCCACATTCACTTACAAACTAAATATTCTGGTTATTAAATGAGCACCACAATGAAGAAAAACAAAGCTATGATGATTAACTATGTGCTAAAAATGTTTAAATTATTTAGATTAACATGAATGTTTCATGTGATTAAAAACATCAGTCCAATAAGACTTTTTATTGCATTTCTCTCATTTCCCTCGTTTCCTTGGACGTGATGAAAAAGCCCCCGGTGCGCTGCAGAGAAGTAGTCAAACAAACAATCTCTTGGACTTGGAAAAAAATAATCTGCCTGGGGAAGATAAAAAAAAAAAAAAAAAAAAGTTTCCCCAGTTCTCCTGAGCTATACCCAAAAATCCAATAAGCCTAATTTACACCCATGAAAACATTGGTTTGTCTCAGACGTATTAGCTTGCTTNTTTCATGTGATTAAAAACATCAGTCCAATAAGACTTTTTATTGCATTTCTCTCATTTCCCTCGTTTCCTTGGACGTGATGAAAAAGCCCCCGGTGTGCTGCAGAGAAGTAGTCAAACAAACAATCTCTTGGACATGGAAGAAAATAATCTGCCTGGGGAATAAAAAAAAAAAAAAAAAAAAATGTTTCCCCAGTTCTCCTGAGCTATACCCAAAAATCCAATAAGCCTAATTTACACCCATGAAAACATTGGTTTGTCTCAGACGTATTAGCTTGCTTTCTCTGTGTGCCAAAACATTCTCACAGCTCATCTCTGTCTCCGATTGGCCCTGATATTGCCAGACTGCCATCCACGTGTATTGGAGCCTGTGCACCCAGCAGCCGTAGGGGATCTCTGACTCTGGTTGTGATCTGCAGCCATTTTTTTTCAGTAATTTAACCACATATATCCTGAAGGGCTACTTGCAAATTCACCTCACAGAGAAACCTGACGCAGCTCTTTGCTCTTTTGGGGTTGAGTTTGGAGAAAGAGAAAAAAGGACGTAGAAAGGGATGTTGGGCAGAATTTATGAGGGACCTTGGTATTATCGGGTCCGCCTGGAGGCCCACTGAATAAAGATCAACTCTTCAGGCCTCTATAAATCACCAGGAATGGGCAAGGCAGGAGGAGGAGGAGAGGATCTTCGAGATATATGGAAGGAGTGATTGCATTGAATCATTGAGAAACTTATGAGAAAGTGGAAGAGATAAAGGGGAAAGAGTTTGAACCATTCACCAGTGAACAGATAATGTTTTGACTTAAAGGGAAATCATAAATGCTGATCCCCAAGGCCCCCTATGTGCGTGCATACAGCTACACCAAATTTAATTCTAGATTTACAGCCTTACCAAAACCTCTTCTCCCCCTCTTACCCCCTCTCTTTCTCTTCCAGAAATCCATTTCCTTCCTCAGCGAGCGAGGGAACAGTGGCAGGTAGTTGCTATTGCCGCTGCACTGAGATGATACATCACACATCGGACAAATATCAGACAGCGGATGGTAAATTGCACCAGCAGAATGTGTTGCACCACACAAGATGATGGACTAATAATTATTGGTTCAATAACAAATGTCTCACTGCCAGCGATGGAGGACATGCACAGACGCATGAAATACATTTCTACACATATATCTTGATCAAATGCATGGACAACCCTCATATGTCTACAAGGTCTGTGAAGATGGATGAAGAATGTAAGCAAAAAAAACCTGAATAAATTGGGAGGAAAATATAAACAAATGTAGATGCGAAGTGAGAAGATTATTTCCAGCTTGGTTTGGTCCCTTTAGCACAAATTCTGCTTCAAATAAATCAGTTATTCTGATAAATTAACTTTAGGCTCCAATGAAAATTGTGAAGTTTCTTCCAGCATGACCAGGCCCACCTCTGCAGGGCGTTCACTCAATAATTTAGTGAGTGTGAAAGTAATGTGAATCATGTGCTACAGTCTTCATCGTCTCCAGAGCTCAACCTAATTAAACACCTATGGGAGTGTTGGATGGAGATCTGGAAAAGCGTCATCAAAACAACAACTTTGAGAATATCTTTTGGGAGAATGGTGTTTATACTTTCATGAGCGTTTCAGAGACTTGGAGCGTCTATGTTAAGTTCCTCTTCAGGTGTATTAAGGTGTAGATGGTAAATAGAAATTACTTTCTTTTCCTCTTATTTTTATCCGTCACCAATATTTATAATTATTTTAGAAAAACCTGACTGAGCGGTTATGTCAGCTTGGTTAGATTCGCTATACGAACATTTTCCAGACAGCCAAGATCAGCAAAACAACTGTCAACAAGCCAACAATATATACGCTCAATATAATATAAGACAATATAATAAAAGTGTAGGTTCTTATGTTTATCATTTAAAGAGTTGAATGAATTCTCGAGGATGCAGACCATTATATTAGCAATATAAAATGACACAGAGAGAAAATGTGAGAAAACATGTGTTTTGCTTTGGCTGTTCTTCTGTCTTTGAGTGATAGAAGTAAACTGTGCATGAACAAAGTGGAAAATGTGAGAGTAGCTTAATTATACTGACATTTCCTCAGTATCTGTGTCAAGCACACTACCATATTTGATGGGTATCTCTGATTACTTGTCCAAACCAATGTTCCCTGCTGTCTTATTAGTGTTGCTCTTTCTCCATTATAATGAAATGCCATGAAGTCATGGATCAATACACACTCCTACGCAAAATCTTTAATAGAAAATCCAGCAAAGTCTCAGGGGACGACTTAGTTTCAGAGGAGTGTGTTTTACACCCATTAACAACGCATAAAAAAAATGCTCTGAGCAAGTTGTTCATTACTTAAGTAGCATTAAAACGGTAGGTAGAAACAGTAAATACAGAATGTGTTGAGGAAGGAGATAGAGATATGGATCCTTTAACTGACACACAGCTATTCCCGTTCATTTTTGCACAGATGGCAAAAAATTGCTTTGACATTTACAACACATGATTGACTTGAGTGAAAAAGCAACACATCCAACAGAGGAAAGAGAAAAAGAAAGTGGAAAGTAACAGAGAATAGGTTGGGCATGGGTATGCCATTAGATAACTGTGTAAATTCATAAGAAACAGGGTCTGGGTGCCACAAAAATTAAAAAATAAAATATACAATGCAAATGATGTGCATAGAGAGTTTATAAGAAACTGTCAGCTGAAGGCTGAGGGAATCTAATGTCAGCACAATCCTGGTGTGCTTCAGTCCAGACTGTTAACTCAATGGACAGCCAGAAGCAATGGTGCAAAAGTGGTAAAAATAAGAAGTCAGACTGGTCTTTCTCTGTTATGGTCATTATTAATCTTTAGTTTACCATCCTACATCACCCAACCAGCTTCTAAACAGGCCCAGCAATACTCACCCAGGGTTATAGGAAAGTTCTATCTTTTCACATGATGCCGTATTGTTTAATTAATGGTGCTGCAAATCGCTCTTTACAGCAATAATTTTGATCGTTTGGAAAACACAGAGACGCAGGCAGGACATTTGCATGATGGCAACACCATAAATGTGGTTTGACATGTACCTGAAAACCATACTTTGTAAATTTAACTGCAGACCAGTCCACACTATATTACACTTAAAAGAAAAAACCTCACTTGCAGCTCTACTGCCATAAAGTTGTTGCCATCCACACAGACAGTCAGACCTCAGATCTTCAGCTGCAGTTGTGTGCGTAACTCTTTATATACAGTCTAGGGTGCGTACCCACAAGTAGCATGTAATGCAGTTTCCTCTCTATCTCAAACACAGTGAATATTTGCCTGCTTTTGCCCCTGACGAAACATACGCAAAAGAATCACGAACATGGAAAAAGATAACAGCTGTTGTTGTAAACTGTATCTGCAAAGATAAGGCCCCAATTTAAACGTTGGAGTAACAATAGGCATCATCTGGATATAAAAGCACCTCTATCAGGATGAGATTCTGTTGATATTGGAGAGTCCAAACCACAACATCAGTTTTTTTTCCCTCGTCCCATTGTCAAAGTCACATGACAACTGCCTGCAATGACATCTAGCAGCAGACTATACGTCGACCAGTGAAATAGAAGTGCATCCTATCAGCCTCAGTTTTTGAGACAGATGTCCTGCCAAGTCAAACCACAGCAGGATTTATGCTTCTCCAGGCTGCTTGTGAGAAAACCAGCTGTGAATGTGTGCAAATATATGTATATCAGTGGATAGACAATGGACATAAAGTGAACTGAAAACATATCTGTGCATAGACTGCAGGGCACTACAGGACAATTGGTAAGATAGAGTTGATTAGCTAATTTAGTTGAAGTTTCCCTATAGGAGCTTACTGCCAGGTCAGCAAAAGTGCTAGAACCACTTCATTAGCACAAGTTCCCCTATCTCATTATTTTGAAGAGAAAAAGTATACTTCTCTTTGTTCTGAGTGTTGTGAAAGTTTAATAGGGGTTCTGTAGTACAACTTGTGAATGTAAATGTGGGTGTGAAAGTCTCTGTCAATCTCTGTTAGACAAACCTTTTTGAAATAAGCCAAATGTATGTGGAGCTTAATGTGCAGTTATTGGTACTCAGCAGAAATGTGTCAGCTTTTATAATTCAAGTAAATGCAAAAGTGCAATATAAGCACATGTTTGCTAAAAAATAGGAAAGAAAACACAGCTTCCGCATCAAGGCTTTTCTTCAGCAAAATGTGTTTGTTTTGAACAAAACAAAATTGAGAAAATGTCACTCTGCCTCGTTATATAATTAAAAAATGTGTGTGAAATGTGAGCTTCAGTTGGCATCAGCATCCTGAGGTGAGTCCGTTATATCTTCACTGGTCTGTTCATAGTGCTGCAGTGCTGGCAAATTGATAACCAGCAGATAGTTCCACACTGTGAACAGCTAAATCAATAGGCTGCTCAAGGCAACAACTGCCAGTCATGTAGGACCCTGCACATTTCTAACAAAATAAGTTGGGGCATAACCATTTCTGATGTGCATGCGTGCGTGCATGTGTGCATGCGTGCGTGCATGTGTGCATGCGTGCGTGCATGTGTGCACGCTCTTATTTCTGCACCATCAACACTGTGATGCAGCACAAGAGGAAGAGGACATGAACAACTTGCTGCTAGGTGCCACTGAGCAAATGTCAACAATGTACATTTAGACAGAAAAAGACATATTTTACTCTTTGGTGGACTTTCTTTTGGCTGACATGGACATTTGAGAGTTAGCATACAAATATCTCACTAATATTGATATTGTTGAATGTAAACCCTGGGACTTGTGATGCACATATATAATGAGACTATGAGACAATATTAGGCTTTTCATGAGCTAAAATAGAGTTTTTCAGAAGGAGGGGCACTGCAGCAGTGTAAAATATGAGACAAACAAAATGCATTTACTGTATAACACAACAGAATGTAAACCTATTCTAGTCAAACACAAATTGGTATTCTGACCCCAACATGTGCACTGATAGTTAACAGTACACCTGAGTTTCACCTTTGTTGGCCAAAAACATTGCTTCTAAAACAAATTCTAAACATATCTGACATTTCTGTTTGTTGTTAATCAATGGGACTACATATAAGTTTGTAAGTATACGCATGGGTGATCAGGAACATTTCCATTAATGGCCCTTTGGACGTGACAATTATCAACATCTAATGAAGATGGTCATCAATGCTCCAGCTTGATGTTTTTTTTCTTTTTATAAACACACCAATGTGTCTTTTACAACTCCCCCTCATTACCATTTGTTACATTGTCCTTGGATAAAACACTTTATCCCCCAAATGCTCGGATCTGCTGCTGCCCCACAGATAAGACTGTGCTGGGCAGTTCTCTGGTGTGATAATGTGTCAATTGTGAGCAGTAGAGCTCAGTAAACACGGCCTGGATAAATTAAGGTTAAGGAAAGCAATAGCTGGGAGCAGTGAAGTCCCAGCAGAGGAACGGCTGTTGCCAGGTAGTGCAGGACTGAGGTGTGCTCTGGATTATGAATCAGAGGGTGTGGGCAAGGATTCCCATGTGGGGGCTCTGAGTAGTAAGACGTGCGTCATGTATGCCAACTTTGTCTGTGGGAACCCTCTGCTCTTTAAAGCAGGACGTTTAGGATGTGGGACACGTGTAATGGGTGTATTCATGTGTAATGAGGGGGGGGGCGCTGATCACCTGTTGAAACCAGATCGCTTCCACCCCCTGCAGGACAACTGCATCTCAATTTTGGTTCACTTCCAAGGTCGGGGCTCTGATCTCTGCAACCTGAGGTGGAGGCGATTAATTATGCTGACCTACTTTGTTCTACAGTGTAGGCCCTCTTTAAAATGAAGAAAGGAAAAACTGCACCACACAGCAGATTCCAGTGGATTTCACTGTAACGAGGCAGAATACAAATCAAAACAAACAACAAAAGTTCCAAGTCTATTCCCCAATGAGTCCATATATCAACAGGCTCAGCAGCTACTGCATATATGAAGGAACACACTCCCCTAATGCACTCCACTAATGCCAGAGGCTCACTGAGACAACCTCACCATAATTGAAAAACCGTGTCAGACCTGCCACAAACAAATGAATAGTCACACTGCAGCACGTTGAGAGCTGGGACAAGGAATAGATTGAAACAATGAAACTATAATGATGCAGTCGCACCAGCAAACACTGTCCACTGTTTCCAACATGAAGCCACTACACAATACAGGCTCGTGCATTCGATTCTAGTCCACTTTTAATGGAGCACACGGTCCTGACAAGTAAGCTGAAGAAAGTCATGTGTGAGTGGAAAATAAAAATGACAGAAGCAGGGAGCAGAGTCTGCTGCAGTATGATGGCTGGTCCACAGCAGGAAGTCTGGGAGGAGAAGCTTAAAAGGTGACTCAAATTAGATGAAATGGTGTTTGACTATTAATTATATTTAGATATAAAGCCATTAAACATTACACTTCCATATAGTATTTATAAAGCATTAAAAACTTGTGCCATTGATGATGTTAATATGCTTAATGCAAAAGAAACAGTAGAAGGATTTAACAAACCCTTTCGCTGTCATATACATTGAGACAGGATAAAGACAGCTGAAACCAACCTGCGATTGGCTGATGGACAGGACCTCGATACCACAGCCCCTTCCCCTCATTATTACCATGCAAGCAGATATTTTAGCTTAATGTTTATACAAAGGAAGTGAAAACCTGTCATCATAAGCAGTCTGTGGCTAAGATAAATAGTTTTATTCTACCGCGTCTGCTATGCATGAGAACTGTTTTGCATTTCATTCCCTGGTGTGTCCTATCTTGTTATGGATGTCGCATCCTTACTCAGCTGTCAGGTAACGTTTATTTAATTTATAACCAATGCACTGTACTCTGAAAACATGAAAAGCCCCAGCCCCCTTCCCTTGAATAATAAGTATTCGATAATAAGAAATAAGTAAAAGGAGGCTTTAAACTCACGCTCGTAAATCTCAGTGAATGTGGTATTCTTAAATTCAGAGGAAGATATCACCATGTACAGGCAGGAGCGTCTGATAGATCTGTTACTACAACGACTACTGCCGCTATTATTTCTGGAATCATACCACGATGTGACTTTAATGAACACACACTCAGGCGAGTTTGTCACTATGACAACCACAGCTCAGACTGCCACCAGGTGCTCCCTCCCATAGTATTAATACCTTCTCTGCCAAATGACCGGCATAAGGTCGATGTAGTGCACAGACTATCAGTCCAGTGAATTATGGCACTTTTCTACTGACATATATTTGGACAGAGATTCTGGCTCCATAAAACCTGAAGGGTGTTAGCATAACAGCAGTGCTGGCATTTGGCGCAGAGTAAATATAGATGTCATACAGGTGGCATTGTGGAGGAGGCCTTGTCCTTGGGTGGATGCTAATTAAGAATGTGCAGTCTCTCAGAATCAAACAAGTTTAGTGGCAATCTCACTAACAAACCTCCTCACCAGCAAGGAAAGAACCTTGATGTTCTTGCATCATAAAAGCTTTAAATGACTTCTCGGTTTTGGGTGAGAGGAATAATGTGATATGATTTGTTGCTCTGATACTTTCAATAAAAGACAAATGGAAGCACACCTTGCAGAAAGTGAAGCTTTGAGTTTGGTTGTTTGTTCAGCCTGTTCCCTTGGTGTTTAAACTGGTGGGGTGCCAGAGTTACTGATTCATTTAGTTTTTAGAAAACTCAATTAAACAAGGAACAAGTGTGACAAGCTTTGATTTAGGAGGATTTACTCCAGACACACATCAAAGCTGGGAAGAAAAAAATAACGAGAACAAAGACACGAAATTTAAAGAAAAAGAAATGTGGCACAGAGACAAAGAGATTTTATCACTGCTTGATGTTTACTAGAATATGAGACAAACTGAGAGGGGAAACATGGGCAGAAAAAATGTACATGGTGATGAACCCTACCTTGACCTCAATGAAGTCCGGCTGACCCAAAGAAATGAGCTCAGAGTACGCCAGCATCTCCTCCACGTTCCAGGCCTTCACCAGCGTCAGTCTGTACACCGTCCTCTGTCTCTGCACGGAGGGGACAGGAGGTGGACAGTGATGGAAATTAAGAGCATTGACATGTGTTGCATTTTTAATGTGTCATACTATATCGTCCTCTTCTTAAAACCATCACATTCGATTAAGTCACTTCCATTTTATCAATCAAATAATTCCGATAGAAACATGACAACATAAATCCTAAGTCGTAGTCACAAACTCCATCTTTACACTGAATTCACACTGTTTTAAAGCCGCTGTAATAAAAAAGAATTACATTTGTTAGATGTTGATGATCCATTTAATATCTCCTCTCAGCAAACAACTGAAAACTAACAACAAATCACAAACTTACCACACTGTGGTTGTGTATCTTTTCATTGGTGCTTGTTTGTTTATAGGCAGGGTCACGTAAAAACTACTAAACATGACATTTCATGGAGGGGTGCGGCACGAGCCAAGGAAGAACCCATAAACTTTTGGAGTGCATCCAGATAAACAAGTCCAGATTCCATTTTCCTTAACATGGTTGAATTAGGACGTTGGCCTTGGCAGAGGTATGCGCTCTCCGAGTGCCCTTCAAGTTCATGAACGCAACTGAACTTTATGGTTTTCTTCCTTCTGAGGAGATGCTATTTAAATTATTTTATCCTTACTGCAATAGATCCAAACTGACAAACATTATAGGACACTAGGCTATATTATTACAGTGAAACCAACAGGTTAATGCAAGTATAATGTATGAGGCTTTACATAAAAAGATATTAAAGTATCTTTAGTAGTAAGGAGTGTTTATTGGGAGATACTTAATATATACAGATCTGAAACAAGGCCAAGAAAAGATAGTCTGGACATCACTCTTATATTAGCCCAGTCAACTTTCCCCGGGTAAATAAAAGGACTGAATAGATCCCTGCTCACAGCTCAGTGGTGTGGATTCAGGATACTGTGTGGCACGAGAAAGAGGATTATTGAGAATGTGACTGAGAGGAGGAAAGGCATGAAAAGACAAGCAGAGGAGATGAAAGAAGGAGGATTGTGAGGGGAGAGGACATGAAAAATGGATGAGGTAAAGAAACTAATAAATGACAGTGGGAGAAGAGAGTGTTCTCTTTCCCTCATTTGTTCCCCCTCTCTCTTTGTCCCTCTCACTGGACGGTTATCTATAATACTAGGTCCCCTGCCCAGCAGAGTGGGGGGATAATTGGCCAGTGGAAGCAGAAAGGGGATGTATTTCAAGCTCCCTATTTTCAAACTCTGACACAGAGGGACAACTCTATCAGTCCCACTGAAACGCGGCAGCGAGGCCAGGTGGAGGAGAGCTGGCAAAAGGAGAAGAGAGAGGGATAAATGCTTAAGAAGGATGGAGACAGAGCCCACCATGAAAATGAAATGGAAACGTCTGGAGCAGACCGGAGGTGATGGGAACAGTTTATTTTTAGAAGCTGGAAAGGTACCCATACGCTACGACATATTGTCAAAGTGAGGTGTACACATACATACATTCAATTAAACGCACTTCCCTCTTGGACGAGCATAACTAGAACGTACTGCATAGATTTGAGTTCCTTAAATGTGCCTGATTTTTTCATCAAGATCCATAAAATCATTCCCTTGTAAATTGGTGACAATGCCCCAAATATGTATGGGTTTGTTATTGGTCAATGTCCAAATCATTTTTGTGGATAGTTTGGACTTTTGGACCGATTGCTGGAAGTTGAGACGGTAATAACATTGAGTTAAAGGAATATCAACATTATGTTTAGTGTCAACTCACGTGAAGTCACTTGGTTTGTGAACTGCCGTACTGAAGCATCGCGTTTGGCATTTTGTCCAGTGCCATTTAGGTTTTTATGTGGTATATTTGGTGAAGTGGGGGGGTGGAGCACACTCATTGGTCAGTGCTAGCTCTCAATCGCACGGCATACACGCCCCAACACATACAGTGCTTCATCGTCTTTTTGAATGGACCATTATTTACAAAATGATCATGCTGTATTGAAGATTTATTTACTGACAATATAAATCAAGTGAGAAGTAAGCTCTCTATAGAAACTGTTTCTGCTGGTCATTCAAGAGATTTCAGGTTTGCAGGCACTTCCACATGTGCTTTACTTTCCAGAATTCAGCTGGAATTAGGCTTAGTGCCGCACGCTGGTGCCTCACAGCAAGAAGAACTTGCTTTGAACCTAAAAGTTACTTCTGTGTGGAGTTTGCATGTTTTCCCCACTTCACTGTGCTCGGTACTTTGGCTTCCAGCCATATACCAAAGACATGCAGGTTAAGTTAATTAGCTTAATTGATGAAGGTTTTGGCTCATCAACAAATATCATTTACAGTAATTATAGTCTAGATTGAGGAGGCTGTTTAAAAGTGAATACAGTCCATTCAGGAATTAATGTGGATGGGATCATTTACAGTAATGACCTTTAAATGACCACAGACTTGACTGGAATTCAACATCTTAGCCTCAGAGGCTGGTGTTTAATGTAAGGCTACTGATTATCTTAACTGTTGTGTTATTTTTGTTACACTGGTGCTTGCTTGTGTGCCTGTGGTGAAAATAGCGATCTAGATGCAATTAGAGTGCAATGATCCAACACCAGTGATTTGCCTCAAGCCGAGCAAGTCACCAGCACCTCAGGCTAAGTGCTAATGAATTTGTCCATTGTTTGCTAAAGCATTAAACAAGAGGAAGCCGGCTCATTACAGATAGGTGTCACAGTGGCTCCCTCTGAGAAACTTCACAGCCCACATGTTTCTCAGGCTCTTTTTGGCAGTGGGATTTTTTTTTCTCATTTTGGTTTATTGGAAAAGCACACGAACCAAAAGAATTGATTTGCACATGCAGCATAGCGCTTAGATGCAGGCTGTGATGACAGACTTTCCCTCTATCTGTGATGATGAACAGGACTGCTAGTTATTGGATGTCCTTTTCTCTGCAACTGCTGTGTGGGTATGTGCAGGAACCTCTTTGGATGTGGCAGTGGCATTTCAATTCTAGAAGCACAAGACGAGATCCAAGTCCTAGGTTTAGTCCAACTCCCTAACACAAGCACAGATGCTTACCGTTTGCATTTTCCCTATTCATGTGAATAATTGAGTAGCACTTAACTTGTATCCACTTCAACTTCTTGTTCACATACTCACGTCTCCTATCTCATGGCTGGAAATCAAACTACCATCGTGGACAATCTACCTTCTCTCCTAGGGCCTTGAGGCTGTCCAGGAAGCGTGGCCAGAAGTCCTTGAAAAGTGGCCGGTCAATCTTCTTCAGACTATCTTTGGTGCTTGCGTCCACACTCACATATAACTGGGTGACTGGCACCAGGCTCCTGGAAATGACCAGAGGGGGGAAGATAAGAATGACAGAGTTTGGATGATAAAGAAAGTCTGATTGGAAAAATCATTGAAAAACCTAGGTGCATTTGATTAAAAACTATACAAACAATACTTCTCTGCAGTTCAGTCAGGTACAAGAAAGTAAACATTTGGGCTGAATATAAATTTGTTGCTCAGGTCCCTTCAGAATATATTTCTCTTTTTGTTTTGATTCAATAACATGAAGTCAAACACTTCTACTGAAAGAAACATTGCAGCTAAAGGGGGGATGAAGGCAAAATGGAAGGGGGTTGGAGAAAAAGTTAGTTGTTGAAAACTAATGAGTGCTTCTCATTACTATTAAAATAAGTTAATTTATTTGAATGTAGCTGCACAACCTTTTAAAAGCAGGAGGAAGCATCCGAGTAGTAAACAGAACCAGAAAACTAAAAGATTAACCCTGCAACAAAAAGAGCACCACACTTTCAAGTGTTTTTAGATGATGTATAAAGACAGGCAATTATGTAAAGATGCAAAAAATAACCAATTAGCCAGATAAATAAGAAATTAACCGAGTGAGCATCAAGAAAGAAATTCTTCTGCTTCTGAAGAATCCCTTCCATTGCTGTACTGAGATACAGAGCCAATAAACTGAAACAGCTCATCTCCAACCATGTGGCTCTGGCAGACAGGATAAAGAATTAGCTGACGCTTGCTGTCCTTGCCTTCAACCTGCTCAATGAGGACAAGATAAGTCGGCCTGTGACAGTCTAGTTAGCCGACATATCCAATGTGTCACTATATGTCTCTGTGACAAGTTGCAAGGTCTCAAGACAGAGTGGCATCTCTTGATGGGAGGTTAAAGGACACAGAGAGTGACAGAAACCAGGGTAAACATCTGGACATAAAAGATTAATGTTTATGTCAAGCAGGTCCGCACAGGCATACATAATTTTCTGTCTAGAGACTGGCAACTTTGGTTGCCTAGGTGTGGACATTTTTCCACCGGTGACAACACCAGTATTAAAACTGGACATTTTACAGAAAAAATGTGCATCTGCTCAGCATCTGTGGATCTGACACAGATCTTTAATGTTTTAGTCTCACTATTGCAGTGCAGTTATATGCAGTGTTTCCCAATAATTAACTAGACCATGTGGGTAGGTGAGTTAAATTAAAATTGCAGTAGACATCTGCTTCAACATGCCGTCTTATGCTGTTTAGTGAGTTCTTCTAACACTGTACATGTTTTGTTTTATTTATCTTCTGCACAAAGGGATGTCAGAGAGGCACCACGCCACAGGGCTGTGTTGACAGAGCATAGGAGAAGCTGCAGTGTTGAATAATAACACTTAGAGGTCACTTCAGTGTTTCCTCCCCAGACACTTTCACTTTTCATGTTGACACTCACACACACACTACTGCACCTAAAAAACAAAGTGTGTGTATTTGTAAAAGCGTCCACCTGCTCCAACTGAGGTTGAGTTGTTTTTTATGAATGTTTCATAGTTACTGTAGGTGCAGAGGCAATGTTTCTGTAGGAGATGTGTCTGTAGTGAACTGCTCTGTCAAAGAAACTTTGATGAAGAAAGTACAGACAGGAACTCTTCTACCCGCATTACTACTGGCAATGCAGCCTTTCAGGGGAGTCACACTGGGCATAATTCATTTCACAGACAGCACAAAATGAGCATAGCATGTGTGGACCACAGGTGAACTTGAGATCCTACATCTTATGAGAAAATGCTTTTTATTTTTTGAAAGATGCCTTGAGATTCCTTGATCACTTCAGCAGCATGTGGTCATTAGAGAGAATGACTCTTTCAGCACTCCAGCACCAGTTTCAATATTCAGCAATGATGGTGTAAAGGGAGAGTTCATCCAAATTGGTGAGAAAATATCTCCCTTATTCCTTCCTGCCACCTGGCGTTGTAGACAGTTTTAGCTTGATGAGCCAAGTTTTTGACATGTCCGCCCCTGAAACTAAATCTTCTCACACAACTGAAGCTAATTGAGTTTTACTCATCCTGCCCGAAGCACCAAGGGGTGTAATTTGACAACAAAGCACTATTTCTTTTTTAAATAATTATGTGCATTATAAATAAAATAATTTATCAACACTGGCATACTGTTAAAGGACACAAAACACTTTCACACTGACCTTGGACTGGATCAAACTGAACCATGGTCCGGTTTGTTTGTTTTTTAGGTAATCTCTGACTTTTGGAATAATTGCAGGGAGTTGAGACAGTATAATCAATACAAGAAGAAGAAAAAGAGGGAGCAGCTCAAAGGATGGCTGCAGTCTTCACCTCTGACAATATATGACATGCATTTGTACGTCTGACTACAAACCACTCAATGTCAAGTATAGGTGGAAGAACATATGTCTTATAAAATTATTTAAAACAATGTGAAACCAAAACTCACCCGATCTGAAAATAATGTAACAAAGACATGAACTCTAGTTCAGATTTTTAGGTGTGAAAATGCCCTTATTGTGAAAATTGAATTCAAATCCATTTAATTTGGATTGTGCCAAATCATAACACACATTATTTCAAGCCATTTCACATAGTAAGGTTGAGATCTTAAAAATCATAGAGAAACTGGACAGTATCCACATTAAAATTTGACTCCACCTTCCAGGAACCAATTTAACTGCTAACATGTTCCCTACTTTCCAATTCCTCCTCCCTGACATAAAAGAGAAAGGCAGGAGAACTTTAAAAACATGAAAGAGACGATGAAAGAGTATAATAACCCAAAAAAACAAGGAATGCATCTCCGTTCAGCGCCTACCTGATTTCCTCTGGAAACTGTGCATTTGTGACCAGGAAACTGGAGATGTGTTGGGAGTGGAGGAGGCGGATAAAGGCGTTGATTTCAGGGTACATGATTGGCTCGCCCACCAGGGAGAGGGCACAGTGCTTGACTGCCAAGCCCTCCTCGTACCGCTCGGGCTTCACTCCAGGAACACCTGCAGGGAGAGAGAGGTCAGCGGCTGAATAGATAATGGTTGTAAACTGGATTCCACCTTTGACTTCATCATTGTCTCTCAACAGTCAAATGAAGGGCCTCACAAATGGAAGGACCGACAGTGCAAAGTTGAAAAACAACTGCTTGAGGTCAGACTTTAAAGTGAGGTGAAACTATGTGTGTGTGTGCTGCTCACTAAAAATGGAGGGAGAGAATGGGAGGGGGAAGGAAGGGAAGACACAGTATATTAAGTTTGAGCTTTGGGAGTTCGGCCCAGAGCATCTCTCTTCTTCTTTCTTTCCGCCGGGTGGTCTTGGCTCCTCTCACTGTTCAGTGGATATGCAAGGAGAAAATGCAAGGTGCAGTAAAAAATATGCTCAGTGGTGGTTTGAATAGGAAGGGTAAATGAAAGTACAAAGTCTTCATTTCCATTAGTTAGAGTTTTGCTTAAGGAAATTATGGTTGTCCACATTAGGATTACAACCATATGGTACTAAATTCACACAATTTGACATTAATTAGATAAATTGGCCAAATTTGATTTACTAAACCACCTGGTACAATTTTAACATGTAGCATCTGTGAATTTATTAAGTATAATAACATAAAACAGGCATATATGAAACATCATATGTCTGTTTTCTGTTGACAGAATAGAATGTAAATATAGATGGACGACACGTCTCAGCTTCCTCTCACTGTACAAAAATGGAGCTATAACTTCCGAGATACAGGTGACGGCAACTTGAGCTTTGGTGTCATTTCAACCAAACCATTACGGCACATTTTTATTGCATCAAATAATTGAATAAAACCAGATTTACTGGAAAATTAGCACTTGAAAAAAAAAACAATAACCTGATATGACATATAATACAATTTTTTAATTGGTCCATGGCCTAACTGCTAACATGGAGGTCGCTGGGTTTATGAGCCCCCAGGGTGTGATCAAGATGGTTTGGCTTCAACTGTGATGTCGTCCATCTTCATATCCAAACTATGGTTGGCAGTATGAAGATGTAAATGCCATATAACACAGCAAAAAGTGGATTGATATTCAGGGAATAAAAACCAGTTTCACTGGGATGTGATGTCATATTGATGTAGCTACAGCAGATGCCATTTCATTTAAGGCTACAAGCAGGGAATCTTAATTAAATACAAAATTGGACAGTTGCCTCCATATGCCTTATGAAAATGTCTATGAATTATTGATAAGCTATCAAAATTCTTTATGGTTGAACCACAGAGAGCAACTGTTACTGTGCTGCCTTTCAAGGACAAATTACATCGCAGGACAAATGCAAAGACATCAGAAAGGCAAGCTGTCCCCCCCAGGAGAAATCCCACTTAACTCTGTTCATAAAAGCCAGCTGAGGCTGAAGGTGAGTGTATGAGTGTGTGTGTGTCTGAAACATCATTAAATGTATGCATCTTGTGGAATTAGTTATGTGAAATTCCATTAAAGTCTCACATACTAGTTCACCCTCTTGGGGCAGAGAGTGGAATCAGGTCTATCAGCGAGGACATGGGACTCTATTAGAAGCCAGTGAATTGATTCAAGAGATGACAGCTATTATCAAAGGCCTTCGATTAGTTCTGGACTTGACCTACACTTTCTTTGTTGAGACACCAACACTCATGGAGGATGGTGAGGAAATCATTATCCCGTCCTTGCAGACTTCTTATCCATGTTTAATTGGCTTTCTCATTCTTACCGAACACTTTGGCATTTTTTAATCAATAGACATGAAATTAAAAGTTCATACATGTAGGTCATTGGATGGAAGGGGGCGGTTAAGTACAGAATTCATGACGGGAGTGAGTCTTTTTAAATTTTTTAAAGTGCTGTGATGTTTTAGCTAAGAGAATGACAGAGCAAAATGTTTAATTCATGCACTGACTTGGCTGTGAAAGTCAGAACATCACCGAGCTTCTTCCACTTATGCAAATGTGCCACACGGTGACATTAAGTCATTTGGTGCCTCGAGCGCACACTCATGTAGAAAGGTCAGAGCAAAGGGCTAAATGTAAAATACAGAATAAACTAAACAGGGAACAAGTTCAAACCTCAATAAACCACTGCATAGCTTCTGTAAACGTGTATCCTGAGGATCACATCTAGAGACAGAAAACAGACACTATCCAACCTTCCATTTAGATCATCAGGCACTTTAAACAGATTTGTAGGTAGGTTTGCACACGTGTTTGTTGGTTTGTTTGTAGGCAGGATTACTAAAACACTATTCAACCAAACTAGGTGGAGGAGTTGGGACTGGCCCTGAGAGGAATCCACAATATTTTGGAGTGTTTTCAATTTTTTGTTAACATTGAAACATCAGGCTTTTTTCAACAATTTCATTGGAACTAGGTAGTGGGCTGATATTTATGACTGCAAAGCTTTGCTTTGTCAAAGCATCTAAAAATGTACGTTTTTTTCAGCACAGAACATTATAGTTGTAATCCATTTAGTGACAAATGTGTTTTTCACTCTGAGTGGACTAAAGAGCAGCTTACTGTCAACATAAGCCTGTGTGCACAATTGTTCCATTATAATCACATCAGGACATTTTACACTTTAAATGACAAAATGCCTGATAGTTCATTAGAAATAACACGAGAATGATATTAGGTGTAAAAGTGGGCATTTAAAGATGATAAGTCTCAGAAGTTTTTAGCATTTGGCATCTACATCATTTCACTACAATGACCTTGTTATTTTTATAATAGGATCAGCATTGGCTTTGAGGTTAGAGAAGCGATCATCCGACTCTGATGGTCACAGAATCAAACCGGGCTTTAAGGACACTTTAGCTGGAGGTACAGTCATGCCTGTCAACGTACTGTGGATTTTGCATATTTTGAAAACTAAGAGCCAGTGGACTGTGGATGCTAAGAGAAAGTGTGGAAACAGGCTTATTGTAAAAAGTTAGAGAGTTTGAGTTAAAACCTAAAACAGAAAATAAATCCACCATGCCAGCTGAGTTTGGAAAAAATGGGGGTGGTCTTTGCATGTTTGTAAAGCTGCTGTCAGAGAAGCACTGACTTCTGAATAATCTCCTCAAATTATCCAGAAGTAGGGCTGGGGCTTTGTGTCTGTGTAACCGTCATCATCGATAACATAAATACGTCAATTAGCACAATGTGCGTCGACGCGTTGTATGCAATATGGCTGCATCTAATCAAAGCATCGATTCACCCTAAGAGCAAGCTGAAGCAAAAAAAAATCAATGCAACAAGATTATAAAATCCACCACAGGCTCTGGGTGTGTGACATTCAGAACACCTGAGAGCTTTTGATAATGAGGACCAAAGCCGGTGTCGATGGGCAAAAACACTTGATTTTCCACAGTTGAATCTATATGTTATGTCCTGTCTCTTACAAGCCAGCCCTTGCTTAAATGTTCTGGACATTTCCTCGTTGTTGTGAACGTGTCTGACTCAGATAATCTCCATGTCTAGGCCCAACTGAGCAGCCACTCTCAGGAGTTCATGTCTGGAAACAGCTTGTAACAGTTGATGTGGCTGTGCTGAAAGAGGTCTGCAGAGTAAATATGTCTTTAGTTTCAATGGGCTGCATACAAGGAGTTATACCAAGAACATATCAGTACACCTGTGATAGAATGGACAGGAATCTGTTTGTACTGGAGCAATGCAAGAGTCTATTACTATTCTGTCAAACATCATGGTAAATTAAATGTATTTCTATTTTGGAAAAAACTAGTTCACCTGAGGAA